TTACTCAATAAAATGATTAACAAGTTGACAATATTGCATAATAAACTAGCCCTTATCCATGAGACATGTCGGGATTCAATAGCATAGTTTTAACATACTTCAATTATTAAAATCATCAAAGTATGTTGATCCTGAGTGCGCTTGATATTGGTGATATATATGAAGAGTTGCTGATTTTTCCCTCAAACATACTACTGTTGGAGTGAGTGGACTTGCTTTGTAAAAATCCACACGTTGAAATCGCGTATTCAACATGAATATTTATCTTAACGGTTCACGCGAAATTCAAGTTAAAGTCATCTGGTATGGTTCGCATACCGAGCAAATATTAATTTTCTGGATATTTAAATTGCGTTATTGAAGTTATTACATTTTGCGTCAAAAGTTATTGCATTTTGCGTTGTTATTACATTTTATGCGAGTTATTACTGATTTTGTGGCGTAACAGCGCAATAAATAACGATAAAGATCCCCTTTCCTTGCAAGAAATACATTCTTAGTACATATCTAAAGTAGATTTTTGCTATTCACTCTCTAAGAGGAGAAAAAATATRGTATTTTTTGCGCTTCAATGTGAAGACCTACGAAGTGTTTAGTTTTGTTTTGCCGACTTCATGACCTCAAAACAACGACTTCTTGACGAAAAATTTCAAGTATTTTTCAACTTCATTCTTGAAAAATGCATTTTTCTTGCAAGAAATATACTTTTAATAGATACCTTAAGTAGATTTTTGCTATTCATTCGCCAGAAAGAGGAAACATATGGTATGTTGTGAGGTCATGTAGAATCCTGTAGCATGTCAGCCACAATGGCCGATTTGATCACGTGAGGTCTCAGTGCAAGTCGCCTATTCTGTGGACTCATTTAGCCACATATATTTAATTTCGATTTGATCCCATCGCCAAAATGGCGGCTGAAAATTGAAATGCGTTAAATCATAGTTAATGGAGCGGAATGGTTGGGAAACCTATTGTTCTATGTTTTGTTCGACTTTATCCATTGTTATATGACGTTGACGGTGCACAAAAGAGGAAACGTTGCTCCGTTTGTTCATAGCATTCGGGAATATAGAAGTTTTTAGCCCTAAAAAACGTTTTAAAATACTTATTATTTGTTCATTAGTCCTATATGAGTAACAGAAATTGTTTGTTGAAAAGGAAATTGGATTTTTTTCATGCTTTCTTATTTATCATCTAGTAACTTAACTGTATCTGCGCGGAAATATTTATCCGCATAGTTTGTGGTCATCGAATCAAAGTTTTCACTTTCAAAATGTTCATACATGAAAATAATAAGGAAATGAGTATTTTCAGCCATACTTGCTTTGGTTCATTGTGCACCCTCAGTAACACGTGATGGTACGGTTCAACATCAAACGCAAAACAATAGCTTTGTTCTGTGGAGTTTCCAAACCATTCCGCTCCGTTAAATCAAAAACCAATAGCAGCACTGGAAAGAGCACCTTTATTTTAGTAACCCTACAAAGATTCATTATGTCAGGTGTTATATCGGCCGAGAAAACTTAAATTGAAAATTGACAAATTTACCATGAGACATTTGTATGTCTCCCCAGAACTATGAACGTCTGTAAATTTGTMAATTTTCAACTTGAGTTTTCTCGGACGATATAACACCTGACATATGAATCTTTGTAGAATTAGTAYAGGTAATAACACGGTTTCGAGTTTAATTTGGGATTAATTTGCACAAGTGTGTTTTTTGAAGAGTTGAAATTGCACGAGTGTAAATTATCCCAAATTGAACGTACGAGAAATCGTATTATTACTTATTAATGACATACATGAAAAAAATTACAAAAGAAAGAGACGAAAATATGTGAAATATTCAACGCATAAGCTTAATATTTTATGAAATTCGTTCGTTCACAACAAACTATATTCAAAGCGATTTGGGTTTCAAATGCATGTAATTCAAAATAGTTTTTCACCTATTTTAAACGAACAATTGGCAATATGTTTGTCGTAAAAAGGTTTCTTAACTGTTAATCTGAATCACTATGAATAGTGGGATATCGTCACAGGTTTTCCCTATTACGACGGTGTGACCCTTAAAATATTTAACAAATAAAACACGAGCTTTTTCTGTGCTCCGTTCAGTAGTAAAGCACGCAGGAAGTGAAGTAAGCAAGAAAGAAGTGTAAGGCTTCTCACACTTCTTGAATGCTTACGGYGCTTCCTAAGTGATTTATCACTGAACGGACCACGGAAAAAGCTGTTTTATTCGTTTTATTATATAGCTACTAATTTTATTTTGGTATTGAATTTATTTACRCAAAAAGAAAGACGGTCGCAAGTTCAAGCGTTGCTCCGTTCACTGATAAAGCACAGTTTTCGACCAATCACTATAAGAAAAAATAAGGAAAAACGCAAGGCAGTAGCAAAAAGGAATAGACACTACCCTGCTAGCAGAGGTATTTTTCAAACCCTTAAAATTCATCTCGTAAAAGTTTCTGGGGCAATAAAACATTCTCCCCATGCCTGTCCCGTTATTTCCCAAAATGGGAATCATCGTTATTTCCTTGGTCCCCCTGGTTACCTGTTGCATCAACTTGATTTTCGCTCGCAGACTCGACGGTACTTCCTTGAACGCCACCAGCGATCGAGTCTGACATTACCGGGAGAAAAAACAGAAGGAAAAAACAATAATTTTCAGTGTGTTTCGCACAGTTATTCTAAGAACCAATAACTCAAGAATTAATGTATGAGTATGGCGAGAGTTGCGGACAATCCCGAAAAAWCTAATCTTGGACATTGTAATGACTGTGTAGYAACCTGGGTGCGAKTCACGTGATTCAGAGCGCGGGACTCCGAGAGYAGCCATGTTGTKTTASGAGTGTTGAGTTTTTCAAGAATAAAGCACTAAATTGTACCGTAGTCGAGTGCTACTTRATTATTTACCGTATACTGCCTTATCATTATCAYCTGTTCCTTTAGTCACTGGCTGTTTCAATTTTTCCCCTCAGCTCTTTCTCTTTCTTTTCTTTGCTTTTTCTTTACACATGACTCCTTTACTATGTTTGGTCAATAGAATACAGCAACTTCTAATGGCTACGTTTTCCACCCATCTTCATGCGTTATATC